CCTTGATGTTGTGATTTAGGGTTTATGATGTAATCTGCGATTCTATGATTTCATCTATGTTTCCTTGGATTCAGTTTATAATAAAGATATCGAGATCAAAACATTTCAAGAACTACATGGAATGTGACGGCGAAATGGTCGAGAAGCTGCTGAACATGAGTGTTCAGGCTAATGTTAATCTTGTACCTAAGGATACCAATGATACAGAATCCTTGGAACAGTTTTGTAAGTAAACTGTTAACCCAATTTGGCACTACCATGGAGGATGCCATGTGGGCAAGGTGGTGGGACCCGATTATCTGGTTCTTCGAGTTGAGAGGCTCCGTGTTATTGATGGTTCAACGTTAACGAAATCGCCCGGGACTAATCCTCAAGCCACAATGATGATGATGGGCAGGTAAGATCACAATATTCTTTTTTCACTATGCTAAAATAAGTGCTTCAAAGTTGTTTTCTTGGAAAAGCAAGTTTTCTTTACAGAAAAAGTAACTTTGAAAATTATATTTAGCAAAATAAGTAAAATTTTTGACTTGTACAAATGCAGGTTCATGGGAATGAAAATATTGAGAGAGAGATTGGGAAGAGCAGCTGGAGCATAGAGGGTCAGTTTGTATTTGTATAGGAAAACTTATCTTTTCATATTAATTATATATTAATTCTAAGCTATGAATTATGTAAAGACTGAAAAACTTATATGGAAATGGGAAATCAGTCATTTCCTATCATGTGTATCCATTATATGATACATCAAATCTCCTGGTGAAAGGATTGTTTGCTGAGGCATAGTTTGTTTCGATCAAATCAATTAAGTTCAAGGATTGCCCTCTCTCATTTATAAAATCTGTACGTAAATCATCATCTTGATAGCATGTATTTCCAATTCTTTATAATCAAGATGAAAATATAGTTGAGTTAGTTTCACGGCGTTTGGTACTAACTAACCATATACAAAATTATAAGGTGTAAAGAAGATGTAACCTTTCATTCTTCCTTCCAATTCTTTGAAATTAAAGAATAGTGACTTGTTTTGATAGAGAGAATATAATCATACTAGACAGTATTCAAGAAGAATACGAAGCTCTAATCTTGTAATATTAATGATTTCTTGGTTATGTAAATCCCTTTAAAACTACTCATGAGAAGTTGCCCAGTGAGGGGGGCGAGGAGCTTTGTTTTCATTCTCCCTTCTCATTCCACAAACTTGCACCAAAACTGAAGAAATCTAAACTGAAGATTTAAACAAATAAAACCACATATAAAATAGGCTAATTAACACAAAAAGTCTCACTTTTCAATATTTTTGTGCAAAACATTCCTACCTTTAGTTTTTTAACAATTTCATCCACTGATCGTCAAATGCTCCGTTAACTCAACAAAAGCTAATTAGTATAAAAATCATAGATTTTATTTATTTATTATTATTATTATTATTATTATTATTATTATTATTTTTTGGCAATTTCATTTTTCATTGTGGAAAATGTCATTCTATCCACCCATAGTCAGACACTTAGTCAACTCAACAAAAGATGTAATTTTTCTTTTAAAAAATTAAGGGTAATATAGTCTTACTCAATTTTTCCATTGGCCTTCTTCCCACTTTTAAAGTTAATTGTTCAAAATTAAAAGTAATATAAAAATAATCTATACAATTATTCCATTTAATAAATAAGAAATAGCATATAAAATATTGTATTTCACATTGAGAAGAATAATGACTACTGTAATATTGGATTACTCATAAAATTTGGAACGGTAGATGAAAAGATTAAATATGTGGTTGATAAGCTAGAGATGTACATTCTCATTTAAGTTTATTAAGGGTGCAAATAAGGGTAAAATAACAAGAACGATAGCACATGTGATACTATAAATAACCCATCAAATTTTAATGATGAATGGTCCGTCATTTATGAATGGAGAAGATGAACTGGACCTCTTTTTTTTTTTTTTTTTAACATGAAATTGAACTCGTGATAACCATCCAAACCTATTAATACGTTTTACATGTAACAATCCTATCTTTTAATATACTTTGCGAAAAACATCCCTACTTTTAAAACTAAGTCACGTAAAACATCCATACCTTTGTAAAACGAAAGGTATGGACATTTTGCACAAAAATATTGAAAAGCGGAGACATTTTGTGCTATGAGCCTTTTTGTTGAGTTAACAGAGCATTTGATGGCGGGTGGATGGAAGGACATTTTCTGCAATGAAAAGTGAAAGTGGGGGTGAAATTGCCAAAGAGATGAAAAATAAGGACTTGTTGCACAAAAACATCCTTAGCCTTTAAAATGATTCATCATTCAATCATCAGCGCACACAGTAATTACTACCTTGAAATCATTGTCAATGAGAATTGGAAGGAGGAAGAAAAAAGCTAAAATCTTGTACATTATACTGTCAATTCTATCCAATATAGCGTACGGGTTTGGCAACTGCCTAACTCTTTTGTTTCAGTTGTTTTACAATTACACTACTATCCAGGGAGGAAAAAAAAAAGGTACAGTAATAGACTCCCTGTGGTGCCGTCTTTCAGATTTGCCTGATACGACTAGCAAAAATGGCTCAGTTGACTCCTGAATCCTGACTGTAGAAAGGCCAAGACAGAATGAGTTCCCAGCATAGACAATCCACCTTCCCACACAACCGGAATCCAAGAATGCCAACCATATAATGGTTAACATAATGGATGTCATCTCCTGTGGATCAATATCCCAAGAAAACGAATTGCAGATAACATATTATATCAAATGCAGTCCAGCATCTACCTCGGGAACTATTCTGCAGTAAAAAGTTGAGTTAGGGAGGGAGCGGTTATGGTGGCTGCATTTAACATCTTCCAACTGAAAATTTTCAAAAATTATTGACAAAGATGAAGTTCATTGCACTTCAAATCCAAATGTTAGTTGAGGATTTATATAGGTCCCTTGTCCTTGATTTGCTTACATTGCATAGATATGAGTGCCTGGAAAAAAAGATCTTCCAACCAGAAATGAACGGATAAAGACTATCCCAGCTCATAAACTGTTTGATGCAAAGGCCTATAGTGTCACTAAAAAGAGTTTGTAATGCATTATTGTAGATGATGTTAAGTTCAGGAAAAGGAGAAGAAAGATGGGTGTGTAGTGATTTTTAATACGTACAAAAAAAACAAAGTGATGAAGAAAAGAAGTAGGTAGAAGAAAACAAGCCCATTTACTGATACGTGACATATGCTACAAAGGATTGCTTTTGAATAATGATTTCATAAACTCCGTTGCTTTCAGCAAAGAGTATTACCATAGTATCATTTTGTGTTTTTAAGCTTAGCTAAACATGTTCCCGAATTAGAAGTCAACTTTTAACTAGATTTCCGAATTCAGCTACTATTTGATGATCGTGGCACACAACATGAAAGTAAAAAAATGTTGGCTTCAATTCATTAAGCAAGAGGACAGCATTAAATGCTGAATTTCTCATTAAGCAGTATAAGCCAGTTAAACTGATTTTTACATCTAAATGTAATTGAACAAAGAACGATAATACCTGTATCCAATTGGGTGGATAAAGTTCTCATCCTTGCAAGTCCAAGATCCATCAATAATGGCACGTTCAGCTTTGTTCCTCCAACATCTCGTCAAGCATTTCCACACTTCTCTTGGACATATCACCACCCCGTAACAATGTCGTAAGAAACCTTGGGTACAATGTAGGATAATCTAGGCTACCAGACACATCCTACATGAATGAAAGTTAAAACTTGATACGTACTGCACGCATCGTAACTTACTCATCGAGATAATCATGTCCAATTTCCAATTCATGACCAAAAAATTCACATTTCTTTTTAAACATGGGAAAAATGCACCAATGGTCTCCAATCTATTGCTCAAGTAGTAAGTTGATTTCCAACGTTTAAAATGAAGCAAGGTTGTTCTCTAGCTTCCATTATATTTGTGCAGTAAGTCCTCAATGATGGGAACAACCAAAATCTTCGTTATATCAAAATGTGATCTTCAGTGAAACTCGACACCCTCAAATTTTCAATTCCATCCCAATTCCCAAGTTAAGAAGAAAAAATGTAACTTCACAAAGTTGGAGAAGATAACATAAAGATTTAACTGACATTCGGATGATTTGTCATGTGGGACTAATTGTGCAATGAGAATGGAAGGTTGGACCAACTTACTAATGCAGAATAGGTTGGGGGACTAATAGTGCAATTTTCCCATTTAACTTCACACATGACACAAGCAAAATCTACAGGAATACATGCACGTATATGCATCTATAGCCCACCCACCCACACACACACACTGGTGGGAGTTTATGAAATATATGTTTCTCCCATTTGCATCTATAGCATTAAAAAACATGCATCCATTGCATACTGGAGTTTTTATGAAATTTATGTTCTCCTAGCAGGAGACTAACTTATGGTAGTAATTTTAAGAAATTTTGGTTTATAGTAGAACAAATGTCTAATGATAACATGATACTAACATAAATTGGCATGGTTGGATCCATAAGGTAATCCGTCTCTACTCAAGCTAGAGTCAGAAGATTTTGATGGATTTATTTAATAATTGACTCCGGAAAATAACAATAGAAGCTTTAATTTTTCAGGTGAAAACAGAAAAGGTGATTGTAAATGCAAGTAATCCTATAAATGTCCTATCAATTAAAACTAAAATAATTTATAGTTTAACTTAAAGTATGGCTAGAATGCGAAGAGACAAACCATTGGCTGAAAAACGCCTTGAGACCCAACATTTACAATTTGTGTCTCCATTGGCCCCTGCTGTACAAATGATGGCATTCAATAAATTGTTCTTTAAAAAAAAAAAGCCCGTAAATAAACAAAGAAACCAACCTTTCCTTTCTTGTTTGCATTTCATCATTATTGAAAAAAAAAAAGCCCGTAAATAAACAAAGAAACCAACCTTTCCTTTCTTGTTTGCATTTCCATCATTATTGACCAATTCCTTTCCAGAATCTATTCTCTTGGAACCCTTGTTTGTCCGGATCACATCATCATTAGGCATTTGCTCTCCACTTGTGATAGTGCTACCTTGGTTTACTCCCACAACACCTTGAATGGGAAGAGTTGCCGATATGTTCAGTCTCAAATTATTTTTAGAAGGGTTACTCACGTTTTCACATTGTAGCAGAGCCTCTTCGATGGCAGCAACAGCAATACCGTAACTATCCTGAGACAGTGACCCTTCTTCACCTAATATTATAGCTCGTTGGCATAGATCATTGTAACGACGGACTTTAGATTGTACCTCATCCAATTTTTCGCTTATAGCAAGCCTACTAGTGGCAGCATTAGTCCACCGTTGCAGTATGTACTTAAACGGTATACTGAATACGCCAGACATTTGAAGAACCACAATGGCATGTCTACAAAGATAACCTTTATATTCAAATGAAAGACATGAACAATATATATCTGATTCTAGTTCATTCCATTCCACAATAAAATCCTGATTATCTTCGAAGTCTTTAACCCCATACATTACAGTTGACCCGTCTTGTTTTTCTTTTTTCAGATGGCATGCGGCAGCTCCCAGTACCTCGATTTGAAACTTTTTGAATATTTCATGAGTATATACAAGAAACATTTGTTTCTCAAAAGGCGAAGGGGACTTCAGCTCGGGTGTTTCATGCCAGGCATCAAAATTTGCTTTGGCCTCCTCTTCATACATGTCTTCAAGGATTAATTTGTATTGTCCTATCAAATCCTTGAGAGAAGTTTCCCTGTTGATATATTTGTCAAAGAAAGAGTTCAGACTTTCTGATCTCGTAGCTACATACAATCCAGCAAAAGACATGCCCTTCATAAATGTAGGCACCCAGAGCTTGCGGTCTTCGTACAAGGATTGCATCCACCGGTCTTCTCTTAGCCTAAATCTCTGGAGCAATTTCCGCCATCTTTTTTCAAATAATTCTTCAGTCCATGACCTATATATGCATTTACGAAGTTTTTTCATGAATGTATCGTGCCACGGGCTCTGATAATCAAGATGCCTAGGGATCTTTTCCAGTACATTCCACAGGTGGAAAAAATGATGAGTGGGGATCTTTTCCAGTACATTCCACAGGTGGAAAAAATGATGAGTGTCGGGAAAGACAACTGGAACAGCTGCCTTGATGGCATCATTTTGGTCAGTAAGTATGATTCTAGGACTTTCTTTCCCCATTGCCAAACGCCATGTTTGCATCAACCAAACAAAAGTATGCACAGTTTGATCTGCAATGAATGCACAACCGAGCAGCGTGGGTTGAATATGATGGTTCACTCCAATAAAGAGGACCAATGGAATTTTAAACTTGTTTGTGAAATATGTCATGTCAAATGATACCACATCACCAAAATATGCATACTCCTCAATGCCTTTGTCATCAACCCAAAACACATTTCTCAGCCGATGCTCTTCATTGAAGTCCAAAGCATAAAAGAATTTTGGATTCTCTTCCTGCATGTGCGCTAAAAACTCCAGTACAACTTGTGCACCCCCGTCTTCCAAACTCAAATACCGCCCCCTATCATGCTGATTCCGGACAATATTCTCTGAAGAAAGAACTGGAAAATGATAAGCACCATATTGTTTTGACCCTGCAGCAAACATTTTCCTCTTCCGAACTTTAGCATCACTGTTATCAGGATCAGCATTTCTATGGCTTCTAAAAAAGTGTGCTTGAGCAGGTAAAAGCTCGTGGTTGTGCTCCTTAACAAAACTATGAACATACCATTTCTCATTCGGCCTTCGCTTCACATGCATACTAGCTTTACAACCTATCTTAGGAGACGGCCTAGGATTTATGGCATCATCAGATTGTTGCTTGTTACCATACCTTATGCATGAAAATTTCGCATCAATAAATTCCTTTGAAGCTCGAGAACGGCGACTGCTCAATTTGGCAGTGCCAAAACCAGCAGATTTAGCGTATTCTTTATAGAATTCATAAGCAGCCTCATGTGTGTCAAATTCCATATCATCTCGAGGTTCTAAATTCGGGTTTGCGACTGTGACGATAGCATTGGACTCCATTTTGCAGGCGGGAAATTCACTAAACTTCAGGAAAAAAGGAATCAAATACTTGCACTAAAGACTTTTCATTTATACGGCTACCTTGTTTTGTAATTTCAGTACAGGGAGAAGATTGTAAAACATTTATACTTCAGCAATTTCCCATAACAGCACCTACATTTAAAATTTAAAAAATTAAGTAAAGGACCAAAATTAAGCTAAAATATTGGAAACCCAGAACTAGAAAACTAAAAAAAAATAAAATTAAAAAATTAAAATAGGGATTGTACCTTAATTGCAGGTTTTCCTTTGGGTACCCAGCTTCAGGTGAAAAGGGTTTCAAGAAACACAATTGATGTATTAAAATTGAAAAGCGAATTAACCTTGAGATTGCAAAATGGCGAAGATCAAAGAAAATATAAACGAGAGAAATTTCTATAGAGCAATATGGCGTGGTCGTCTATGTTACTTGGCAGTGAATGGGCCAGATCAAGCTCAATACGTTGAGATTATCCATGGCCCGAACAGCCCAAAGCATCGATTCATATCGTATTTTATATATATATATCACCACTTAACATATTAATTTACGAACATATGATATGGTGAGAAATGATTGAACCAAAATCTCTTCAATCAAATAGAAGAAGAATAAGGCCACTTAATTAGGCTTAAAAATAGGGGAGTGAAGAAACAAATCGATATATCAGAAATGATTAGGTATTTTTGTTTTAATTTTTCAAACTGTCCAACTATGCGTTAAAACATGTTCGATCTTGATTTGACCTTGAATACGTAGCATGATTGTAAAAAAAAACTTTCAATTTGTTCGACACCTCATTAATATGTAAAATTTTCTTTAACTCTTTTATGCACAATATCCACAGGGGATGACCCGGGGTCTTATAGGGTCAATTGACCTCCCAATTTCTGTCTTCTTTCTTTTTTTGCTGCTTCTTATTTTATATTTTTTAATTTAGAATATCAAAGTTTAAAACCTATAATATAAATATATTATGCAACCAATAACTTCAAACTCAATTTTATGCCTTTGTTTTTCTCTCTCAATCTGTCGATTACAGACTGCCATTATCATTTACGATTTACCCACCGTTTGAAAGCTTGATTGTGACCCCCTAACCTAAAGGGTCTAGATCTGCTCCTGAATATCTATGTTGGTATAATGAACATGTACCAGATGGCAAAAAAAGTCTAATCATGTCTATCATGTTGCTCCTTCCCAATAATTTGGGACAGTTAACCTTGTGATGAGTTGAAAATTGTTGGTTGATCTTTTCTTTTTGAAAAAATAATACAAATGCCTAGTTAAAACGATATGGTAATATTTTCATTGCGCGTGTTTGTTCTCATCGAAGAATTGAATCTCGTTAAAAATAAGGGTAATTGGTACAAAACGTTCCTACCTTTTAAGATTTTTGTGAAAAACGTCCATACCTTTCATTTTTTAGGTTTCAAGAAACACAATTGATGTATTAAAATTGAAAAGCGAATTAACCTTGAGATTGCAAAATGGCGAAGATCAAAGAAAATATAAACGAGAGAAATTTCTATAGAGCAATATGGCGTGGTCGTCTATGTTACTTGGCAGTGAATGGGCCAGATCAAGCTCAATACGTTGAGATTATCCATGGCCCGAACAGCCCAAAGCATCGATTCATATCGTATTTTATATATATATATCACCACTTAACATATTAATTTACGAACATATGATATGGTGAGAAATGATTGAACCAAAATCTCTTCAATCAAATAGAAGAAGAATAAGGCCACTTAATTAGGCTTAAAAATAGGGGAGTGAAGAAACAAATCGATATATCAGAAATGATTAGGTATTTTTGTTTTAATTTTTCAAACTGTCCAACTATGCGTTAAAACATGTTCGATCTTGATTTGACCTTGAATGCGTAGCATGATTGTAAAAAAAAACTTTCAATTTGTTCGACACCTCATTAATATGTAAAATTTTCTTTAACTCTTTTATGCACAATATCCACAGACCCGGGGTCTTATAGGGTCAATTGACCTCCCAATTTCTGTCTTCTTTCTTTTTTTGCTGCTTCTTATTTTATATTTTTTAATTTAGAATATCAAAGTTTAAAACCTATAATATAAATATATTATGCAACCAATAACTTCAAACTCAATTTTATGCCTTTGTTTTTCTCTCTCAATCTGTCGATTACAGACTGCCGTTATCATTTACGATTTACCCACCGTTTGAAAGCTTGATTGTGACCCCCTAACCTAAAGGGTCTAGATCTGCTCCTGAATATCTATGTTGGTATAATGAACATGTGCCAGATGGCAAAAAAAGTCTAATCATGTCTATCATGTTGCTCCTCCCCAATAATTTGGGACAGTTAACCTTGTGATGAGTTGAAAATTGTTGGTTGATCGTTTCTTTTTGAAAAAATAATACAAATGCCTAGTTAAAACGATATGGTAATATTTTCATTGCGCGTGTTTGTTCTCATCGAAGAATTGAATCTCGCTAAAAATAAGGGTAATTGGTACAAAACGTTCCTACCTTTTAAGATTTTTGTGAAAAACGTCCATACCTTTCATTTTTTGGCAATTTCACCCCGACCTTTGTTTTTTATTGCGCAAAATGTCCCTACATCTACTCCCCGTTAAAATGCATCGTTAAATCAAAG